AGGCCTCGGGGGTGGGTGGGGGCCTTGTAGGTTACAGAGGGTCAGAGTGGGCTGGGGGCATCTCCCCCTCCTGCATGGGGCAGGATGTGAGGCCTGTGGGAGCATCTCTGTGGTGCCTGGGGCTGTGTGAAGGCCATGGGCAGCTCTGAGGCTGGGGTGTGCGGGCCCTGGGGCCTGATGGGGGAGAGTCCTGTGCAAGGCCTGGCAGCCTGGTGCTGCTCCCTGGTGTGGTACTGGCTGTTCTGGGGGGCACTTGGCTGCAGGCAGGGCTTGGGTGATGCTGAAGCATGTTTCTTGCAATTTTGGGGCTGGGAAGCACTTGGCAGGCTTCTGGCCTGTCCCAGGGTGGAAAAATCAGAAGAGAAGCTTGCTGGGAGCAGCTGTGCTGGAGGGTGAAGCCCTTCAGGGAGGTAGGGAGGCACTTGAGCTGTCTCCTCCCCCAGTGCAAGGTGTGCTCCTGCAGCCTGGCTGTGCTGGTGAGGTTGGAGGACAGCGTGGACTTCCTGAAAGCCCTGCCTGTGCTAAGGCAGCATCCTGCTTCACATGGGGCTGACTGGAATGGGAGGAAGAGTGAGCCTCATGCAGTCACTGTGTAGGGTGGTCTGAGGGTGTCTGATGGGGTGAGTGTCTGGTCCCTAGGGATAGTGCTGTACCTGGACAAACACCTGATGTGCTGAGGATTGTGATCTTTCTGCAGCAGAGGCTTCCGTGTCTTGGTGTTGGCTGTGGTGTTTTAGCTCTGGAATGGTGCGGGGACTTGCCTTGGGGTATCCTTTTTTCATCAGGAAAAAGCTATTGGTCCTCCTGAAGCCTGGGTCCTGTGCAAGGCTTAGGGGCTGTGTTTAAAACCACTCCTGATCTGTTTGTCTTGTTGCAACCCAGCTCTGCAGCAGCAGTGCCTGCAGCTGTGACCAGCTAGCAGGGAAGCCGCATAGCTGAGCTAAACATGCTCCTAGCATTGATCCTCTGTAAAGCCCTGTCATGTGTACCCTTCTGAGGGGGAAGTGTGGAGGAGGGGGAGGGCTTTTGCCATGTGAGTTGCCCCCTTGATCTCTGTGGCATTCTGGCCAGGGTTAGACCTGGAGTGAGGTGGCTCCTGGCTGGTGGAGCTGTCTGGACCCAGTGTCCTTGCTCTTGTCCTAAGAAACCTGCCTGTCTTGAGAAACAAGGCTGTTTCTTGCCCCATCAAGGTACCACATTGATGCAGAGCAATGATCCCTCTTGGGACAACATCCTGCCTGCAGGCCTATCCTGGAGACCAAGGGGGGAAGCAGTTGATCCTGTGGGTGCTGTAGCTCATGGATGAAGCTGAGAGGTGATGTGAATGGTTGAGGCTGTTAATATCATGTTTGTCATGATTAGAGGGTGCTTTTGTAACCTCTGTATGCTTCCCCTTATGGAGGAGGTGTTTGAATGGGGCATTTCGGAGTAATTTCTGGGTTCATGGCTTGTCCTTCCCCTGTAGTTTGGTCACAGCATTGGTCTCCCCATCCTTTCCTGGGCTGGGGTCTTAACCAAAACTGCTCCTCCTTCACAGCCTGTCTGCCAGCACATCCGGCACCCTTTTAAAAACATGCTGGGAAAGTGCAGGGGGAGGTGGCAGGAATAATTAAAGGTACGAAGCAGTTTCCATACAAGGAACAATTACATAAACTGGCTCTCTTCTGTCTGGGGGAAGAGATGACTGAGGGAGGCATGATGGGGATAATAAAATCATGTGTGGCTGGGGGAATGTGAGCAGGGAATGATTGCTTGAGCTCCCTTCCTGTAAAGGGTGTGTGGGGCATCATGTGCGGGAAGAGGCAGTGGCACCTCGGGGTGTGAGTGCATTTCTTGAAGCATTGATTAACCTGTGGCCTTGGGTGGGGATATGGTGAGAAGATGTGAAAAACTTGTCT